GGAAAATGCTACTCTGAAGCACATGGGAACATCAGATGGGTTTGTCTCTATGACAGAAGCTGAGCTACAACCATCTAGTCGAGGAGTCAAAGAAATTGGACTTTGCTTGGGAAGTAATCTTATGTGTGACTCTGTTGCTATCAATTAATCTATTGAGGGTTCATATTAATTATCATAATAAAAACATATTTAGTAGCGGAATAACATTTTGGGAAATCGGGTCTAGACGTTTTCCTTATTTATTATTATTATCATAAAATATACTATCTAAAATATGTCATGAGTCTTGTTAAACTAAGTAATTGAAGGAAATTAGCTTCAAACCCCTCAAATTGAACAAAATGAAGCTGGTGGTGTATTTAATATAGGCTATCTCAATAGAGGGGGGGCTGGCGTGACATTTTTGAAATGTGAAAAAGGGGGCCCTGGCGAAAAAAGGTTTGGAACCCCCTGGTCTGTGATTTACCACCCAGCAGCACTGTACCCTGAAGCTTCTCAACTGCTGGCCCCTTTCTCACCAAACAACACAAAACCGGAATAAATAGTTACAATTGCTTGGGAAATATGTAAAAGCAGCTTTTTCCCCAAAGTTCACATAATACAGTAGTTGAGGAACCCCTCGGGCCTGTAGATCTAAACAGAAAGAATGTCATACATTGCGATTTCAGACTCGGAGGACACTTAGATAAGATTCAAAAGTAACCACACTGTTGCTTATATAGGATTATTCATTGAACAATTCATCCAGGCAAATAAAATATAAAAATGTTTCCCCTTTTCTCACCTGTCGTGAAATCTGCTTTAGCTTGCCAATAGGAGAAAAGGAAGCAGGATCAATTGAGAGAGGAAGAGACATCTTGGAGGAGTGTATGGGGATGGAGGCTATTTTAAGTATTTCTATAAGAGAGCGAAAATGTATTTGCTTGTCCAAGTGTATGTATTATGTAATATATAAACATTTCTCCCACAAGAAAAGGTCCCTTGTGCACTGTCCTTAGATAAAGGCCAAAAAGGTACCGTAAACTGTACTGTAGTGATCCAGGTCAGGGCAGGGAAAGTTCATCTTTAGGGCTTGTGATCACCCAGACAATCTGTATTTAGCAGTCCTGTTATGGGCCAGTTCTACTGGAGCGGTGAGTGTACCATCTCACTGTGATCCATGACAAGAGAAGAAGGATGCTGTATCTGTGTTGCCTGTCAATGAGCTCTGTGTACTCTGTGTTCTCCTACTCTGTCAGGACTAAGGGAGAGGCTTCAAGTTCCACACACACAGGGAGAAAGAGGGGCTGACAATGAAGAGGGCATGTGTAGGAGACATATCTGGTGATCAGCAGATGGTGCAGTCGCCCGCAGTGTGCATGATGAGTTGGATTATTAAGGGAGGATAGTTAAACCCTGCTGCATTTCACACATGGCTGGCTGTCAGGCTAAACGTTAATAATGTAGTACTGTGTATGCCAGGGCCTATAATCATCCACTGTTGAGATGACATACACTGAGTATACAAAACATTTCCATGACATAGACTGACCAGGTGAATCCAGGTGAAAGCTATGATCCCTTATTGATGTCATTTGTTAAATCCACTTCAATCAGTGAGGATGAAGGGAAGGAGGTGGGTTAAAGAAGGATTTTTATGCCTTGAGACAATTGAGACATGGATTGTGTATGTGTGCCATTCAGAGGGTGAATGGGCAAGACAAAATATTTAAGTGCCTTTGAACAGGGTATGGTAGTAGGTGCCAGGCGCACTGGTTTGTGTCAAGAACTGCAACGCTGCTGGGTTTTTCACACTCAACAGTTTCCCGTGTGTATCAAGAATGGTCCACCACCCAAAGGACATCCAGCCAACTTGACACAACTGTGGCATTGGAGTCAACATGGGCTGGCATCCCTGTTGAACGCTTTCAACACCTTGTAGAGTCCATGCCCCGACGAATTTAGGCTTTCCTGAGGGCAAAAGGGCAACTCAATATTAGGAAGGTGTTCCTAATGTTTTCTACACTCAGTGTATACTGTATTGTTGACAGTGTGTTTGAAGAATAGTGGTCAACGTGATCAATAAGGAGAACAGTGGCTGCAGAGCAATGTGGGCAAACCATTTCCCCTGCATGCATATCATGTACCAACCCTTCCTGGATTCGATGCCATGAAGCCAGCGTAAGCAAGAAGCTGCATTCGTTTAACGCTCAGGAGGCGACAGTTGACGCCATGTTTCAGGGTAGTCATTTGAAGGTGGTGTGGGGGTGGGGGTGTGTGTGTTTGGGTGGGTTTGTGTGCGTGTTTGGGTGGTTTTGGGATGGTCTCTCTTGTATATGTCCTGGTGTTTAACACATGGCTGGTAATCAGTGTTTAACACATGGCTGGTACTCATCCCCACCATGGTGGCTGACTCTGATCTTTTATTGATGCTGTTTTAAGGAGTGTGAATTATTGAGTGAGTTCCTCAAGGCTCTGTGCGCCATGGCTTCCTTTCATATTCAAATAGGAGATGAGGAGATTACGAGGGGGCTGGGAATCTCCTTCGATATTTCGCTCCATTCTCTCTTCAAACACCGTAACAAAACAAGAACGCATGCCCATGCACACACACAAACACACACACACATTAACAGAGAATACCATACACATAGTCACACACATACAATACACTATAGTACACACCCATACATACTAGTGGGCCTTCCATTCCCCATCAATCCAGGGGTGATAAAGCTTCCTCATCTCCATTTCTTCATCCCTGTCATCCTACAGCCCATCCTCCTCTTTTCTTCATCCCTGTCGTCCTATAGCCCATCCTCCTCTTTTCTTCATCCCTGTCGTCCTACAGCCTATCCTCCTCTTTTCTTCATCCCTGTCGTCCTACAGCCCATCCTCCTCTTTTCTTCATCCCTGTCGTCCTACAGCCCATCCTCCTCTTTTCTTCATCCCTGTCGTCCTACAGCCCATCCTCCTCTTTTCTTCATCCCTGTCATCCTACAGCCCATCCTCCTCCTTTCTTCTGTCACAGCATCCTGTATTTCTTCAGCCTCTGTGAATTGACTGTAACTTTGATATGTGATTCCATTTGATCACATTGGATTTATAACTATGCACATTCCATTGTTTTATCACGCTTCATTTTAACTTCTAACGAGACAATGTTGCTAGGTAATGCGTAGGTGGCTATTTGAAAGAATTGACAACTTTAAAGGAAAATTCCACCCCAAAACTATCTTTTGGTATTTTTTTCATTTTGTTGTGTTACAGCCTGAATTAAAAATGGATACACACAATACCCAATAATGAAAAAGTGAAAACATGTTTTTAGACATTTTTACAAATGTATTGAAAATAAAATACAGAAATATCTAATTTACATAAGTATTCACACCCCTGAGTCAATACTTTGTAGAAGCACCTTTGGCAGCAGTCTTTCTTAGTAAGTCTCTAAACGTTTCCACACCTGGATTGTGCAATATTTGCCCATTATTCTTCAAAAAACCTCTTCAAGCTCTGTCAAATTGGTTGTTGATCATTGCTAGACAACCATTTTCAGGTCTTGCCATAGATTTTCAAGTAGATTTAAGTCAAAACTATAACTTGGCCAATCAGGAACATTTACTGTCTTCTTGGTAAGCAACTCCAGTCTAGTTTTGGCCTTGTTTTTTAGGTTATTCTCCTGCTGAAAGGTGAATTCATCTCCCAGTGTCTGGTGGAAAGCAGGCTGAACCAGGTTTTCCTCTAGGATTTTGCCTGTGCTTAGCTCCATTCCATTTATTTTTTATACTGAAAAACTCCCCAGTCCTTAATGATTACAAGTATAGCCATAACATGATGCAGCCACCACTATGCTTGAAAATATGGGGATTGGTACTCAGTAATGTGTTCTATTGGATTTGCCCCAAACATAACACTTTGTATTCAGGACAAAAAGTTAATTGATTTGCCAAATGTTTTGCAGTATTACTTTAGTGCCTTGTTGCAAACAGGATGCATGTTTTGGAATATTTATATTCTGTCCAGGCTTCCTTCTTTTCACTCTATCAATTAGGTTAGTATTGTAGAGTAACTACAATGTTGTTGATCCATCCTCAGATGTCTCCTATCACAGCCATTAAAATCTGTGGCCTTGTGGTTCGAGTGTCCACCCTGATGTTGGGAGTTCGATCCCCGGCCGAGTCACACCAAAGGCTGTAAAAATGGGACCTGATGTGTCTCTGCTGCTTGGTACTCAGCATTAAGGAGATAGATTGTTTGATATTGAAAGAAAATGAAATCCTCGAGCCGACTAGGTGAAAAATCTGTCGATGTGCCCTTGAGCAAGGCACTTTACCCTAATTGCTCCTGTAAGTCGCTCTGGATAAGAGTTTCTGCTAAATGACTAAAATGTAAATGTAAATAAGAGCGTCTGCTAAATGACAACAAAAAAATAGCCCTGCGATAGACTAGCGTCCTGTCCAAGGGGTGTACTTGTACATCACATGCCAAGGCTTGTGCAAGGCTACTTATAACAAAGTGGTTGAATACTTATTGACTCAAGACATTTCAGCTTTACATTTTTTATTAACTTTCGAAAAACATAATTCCACTTTGACATTATGGGGTATTGACAAAAAAATCTCAATTGAATCAATTTTAAATTCAGGCTGTAACACAACAAAATGTAGAAACAGTCCAGTGGTGTGAATAATTTCTGAAGTCTCTGTATAACCTTCGAATTACAGCCGCTATGATGCATTTTTCAAAAACGCAGAATCATACAGTGTGATGCAAAATGCATGGACTATATTCATGAAACAAAAAGTGGAATTTTCCTTTAAGTCTGCTTAGGAATGGCTTATTTTTTTTATTTTTTTTTATGCAGGGTTCTTTGTACACTCATGTTCTTTCCTTAATATCATGTTCTCTCTCTTCCTCCCACTCTCTGTCCAGCCCATGCGTTCTCCTCTGTGCATCCTCTAACCCTTCTGTACCAACAGTCTTCTCTGTAGTGACCTTACCCCTCTCTCTGTCATCTGTTAACCCAGTTCTGTATCCCCCAGGCTGATGGAAAGGGAGTGGACGGTGGCCTGCTGCCTGACGCCAACGGGAAGGAACCCAACCCGGGAGGACAGAGGGAGGACAGAGAGAAATGGCAGAAGCCCCGGATCACTCGTAAATCTCTGATGAAGTGCTGCCTCGTCAAATGGATCATCGACAGCACAACAAACACTCAGGGGCCAGGTAGGTCAGGGACAGAGCTGAACTAACATGAGGCTCAGTCATCCCAGCCACAGTGTTGTATGTGTTCTTCCCTGTGTGGGGTAGCTGGGGTGGAGTGAAGATGAAGGCAGAGGAGAGGGGGAAGGGATGCAGGTAAGATTAATTTTAATGCATCTACCCCATCTTATAGGACTATATTTAAAACTATCATCTCTCTTGCTGTCTCTCAGTGGACTTCTACTGCCCTAGCATGTCTTCTCTTTGTGTCACTTCAGTATACCAGCCAATCGCTCTATCAATAAATCACCAGTCATCTCTCACTGGAGGGAAGCTACCTCCAGAAAGAGACTATGGCCAGTCATTTAGTCAAAATGGTCTTGATCAATGATCAATTACTTTTGTTTCAAAGCCTTTGTGGATTATTTTGCTTTAAATCCTTTGCTATACATCCAAGGCTATACAAAATATTGTTAAATAAATAAGGGTGTTTTTTCTATCCAGCACCTGAACTAGTTTGATATTTTAAATTTTTTATGGGTGGAAGTATGAGCTGAATATGGAGGGAATAGCAGAGTGTCTGTTACTGCTTATACCCCCGGTTTGCCCTAGTTTTCTCTGCCTTTCTAAATTATTGACGTTGCCCTTCTGAACATGCAGACTGGAGCTAACATGTTCATGTGCACCCACCAGAGCGAAGACCCTGCCCTGCTACAACTCTAAGCCTTTTCCAGTAAGGAACCCCAACTACAATCATGTCTAAGGATTGCCCTCTGCTGGATAGTATTAATCATTACATGACACAATAGAAGTACTCTCTATGTACACCAGATGGTAGTCTCACACTTTGGTAGTCTTAGAACTTTTCAGAACACTTCTTAGAACATTTCAGAGGGAGGGAGGGAGGGAGGGAAGGAGAGAGGGAGAGAGGGAGAGAGGGAGAGAGAGAGAGAGAGAGAGAGAGAGGGAGAGAGGGAGAGAGGGAGGGAGGAGGAGAGAGCAGAGAAGAGGAGAGACGAGAAGAGAGAGAGAGAAGACTGTATATCTACACAATATTGGACATTTGAAATCTCTTTAGTCTTTTGAAACTTCTGAGTGTAATGTTTACTGTTAATATTTCTTGTTTATTTCACTTTTGTTTACTATCTACCTCACTTGCTTTGGCAATGTTAACATACGTTTCCCATGCCAATAAAGCCCTTAAATTGAAAATTGAAATTAAATTGAATTGAATTGAATTGAGAGACAGAGAGACAGAGAAGAGAGAGAGGAGAGAGAGAGAGAGAGAGAGAGAGAGAGAGAGAGAGAGAGAGAGAGAGAGAGAGAGAGACTGTATATATACACAATATGACATTTGAAATCTCTTTATTCTTTTGAAACTTCTGAGTGTAATGTTTACTGTTAATATTTATTGTTTATTTCACTTTTGTTTACTATCTACCTCACTTGCTTTGGCAATGTTAACATACATTTCCCATGCCAATAAAGCCCTTAAATTGAAAATTGAAATTGAATTGAATTGAGAGACAGAGAGACAAGAAGACAGAGAGTGAGCAGAGAGAGCTAGAGAGAGATAGAGAGAGAGAGATAGAGATCGCTCTCGTCTCTCTCATCTCTCTCTGCTCTCTCTCTCTGCTCTCTCTCTCTCTCTCTTTCTTTCGTTCTTTGGTTTTACTGTAAGCAGATGGTTGTGTTGTTGTGAGTTGCTGTTGTTTGATTGATAGGCTGGGACTATGGGCCTTAATGCTGCTCTCATTACTGTTGTTATTCATGTTTGATCTGTAGAGTGCAGATATGCTGATATGGCAGCATTAAGCCTTTTCCTTGTTTAATATAAGATGTAAGACAGATCAGCACTTAAGGAGCATTAACATTTTGCTGCTGTCTTTGTTTTTAATGGTCTATTACATGAGCTAACCTTATACTGTATTCATGAATACAAGGCTCTGCCTGACACTGTTGTGGCAGCTCACACGGTTATAGATACATCGGTGGATTAAATATGTTCTGTGATCATTCTGATGGTAGTGGTTTGGTCCCCTGTGCTTGCTCTTTGTGGAAATGGAGTTGAAAGTGGGGATACTGTTATCTTAAAATAAAAATGTTTCACTTTTATGTGTTTGCAGAGTAGTACTCTGAAATTATGAACAGGGGCTCATTTGTGGGACTGTGTTCCCAGTGCAGTAGTGCAGTGGTGCAGTGGTGCTTAAGTGGTTTCCCTATAGTGTCCACAAGGTGCAGCACCTTTATGTGCAGCATCTCTGGGCACTTAGAAGAGAGAGTCAAATGGCTAACTCCATCTAAATCTCTCTCTGGTAAAATGCATTTCTGGCCTGTTCCCATTCCAGTCCTAAAACCAGTATTTATTTATCCTCCCCTGCCCCCTCTCTCAGCTCCTGCTTAAACTCACTCCAATAAGATGTGCACACTCATCAGTATTTTACGCCCTCACACTCATGCACACCACAACTGATATCATGAAAGTGTTGGTGGATTGTTAATGAATGTTGTTAAAACTTTACAGAGACTTTGTAATGAGTTTTAGGATAGGAAAAAGCATTAGGGCACTCTGTCTACCTCCACTACTCCTCCTGTTTAAAGTCCCTTAATAAACTCAATTTGAATATCAGTTTTTGAAATCAGTTTGTTGAATTAAAACCACAATGTGAGGTTTCTTTGTGAATCCAGTGTTATGTTGGCTATGAGTATGGCTGTCTGAGGTATCTGTGTGAATGGGGAGATAGACACAGGCAGCGCCACACAGGGCAGGGCAGACTCCTTCACTCTAAGTGCTGCTGGTCATATTCCAGCCATCAGTGGATGTGGATCAATGCCTGGTTCACAGCTTTACATCATCCTTGAAAAGCCTGTGGAAACAAGGAAACGCTCAGACCGTCAATTAGAAACTATTAGTAAAAAAAAACATCATCCCTCCAGTCTTGCTGCCCTCCTCCCCCCTCTCTCTCTCTCATCTTCCTCACTCACTCCAACTGGAGACTGCACTAGAGGGAGAATTCCTGTCTTGATGGACCTGTAGGACAGACTTAACCAAAAAGGGAGACACTGGGGGTTCAGTCCTTAACTGGGGCAGAATGTGTACTACAGAAGATACTTTACAGAGGATGGAGAGATTTGGGAGATGAGGAATCAAGTAGTATACATTTGTTTTCAACTCAGTACCATGCACTGGACTTGGATTTAGAGGGACTTTTTGAAGACAAGAAGATATTACCAACAAACTCATCTTTTTACTTTTGCTGGATATCAAGGGGTTAAATGAAGGGCATCTGAAACAGAGTAACTGTTACTGGATCTCTACTTGAATGTATCTGAAACAGAGTAACTGTTACTGGATCTCTACTTTAATGTATCTTTACCGTGTTTCATCACATCGTCACCTGCAGATTTCACCTGCTTTAACAGTGTGTGGGTGTGAGGATGACAGGAGTAAAGTAAAGGTGTGACCAATCGATTTCAGTGTTTGCAGCTATTTTTCAGACATCTTGTTCAATTGTTTGCTTTGATGTTTTCTTAGACACACACATACAGCAGCAAACATTTGTTAAGTTATGGAAAACGCATCCTATATGTTCAGCGCTGGCCAATAGCAAGCATATAAAGGTTCTTACTCAAACAAGTCAGCCATGGTGCTGGAAGGCATGGAACTGATTGCAATTACTGTAGTCATTGGCCTGTTTTTTGTAGTGTTCAAGCAGTTTGGTGTCTGGGAGCCCTTGTCATTAGATGGTAAGTAACAAGGAGGGACTCTTTAGTCCCTTTTCTTTTCAAGGCCATCATATTCCTCACAGATAGACAGAAGCTTCTTGTACTGTGTTGTTTGATAGTTGAAGATATAAATGGATTTCAGTGTTGTCACTTTATGAGAGACAGCTGGCTTCCACTGCAACTCAAGACAAACTGTCTCAACACAACAAAGGTCTCATGTCTTATTACTGGTTTATAGAGATAGAAACAACTTCAACCAAAATACTGTAACTGTCTGGCTTAATCTGATTGTATGTATTCCCCCCCTTCTCACCTCCTCACCTCCTCACTTCTCTATACTTCAATCTCTCCCTATTCCTCCCGCTGTTTGTTTGTATTTCATAGATGGTGAGGACACACAGTAGTAACTCCCAGCATTCATTTATTTTTGTCTCGACTATGTGTGTTTAAAGCCGTGCCCCACTTTCTCATTTTACCATTTTTTTTCTCTCTGAGCATTCCTTTCTTGCCTTTCACTCATCATCCTCTCCCACTTTATTATTCCCCTGTCCACCTTCTTTTTGCCTTGAAATATTGTACACCATTTCATCAAATCAAACTCCTCTCCCTCCCAATTTTTTCTGATTGTCCCCTGTCTTCCTCTCCCGAATTCGACCTTTCTCATTCTTGCCTCTCACCTGATCCACAATCTCCCATCCCTTTCACCTCTCCCCTTCTCCCTTTCACCTTCATTTCCCTGGGTTCTCCTCCTCTCTGTCTTTCCCTCTCCTCTCTCAAACAGAGAGTAGCGACTGTGAATTGGAGCTTTCTACTGTTCGTCACCAGCCTGAAGGCTTGGAACAGCTCCAGGTCCAGACCCAGTTCACCAGGAAGGAGCTGCAGTCACTATACAGAGGCTTCAAAAACGTGCGACTAGGACTTGTCTGGGCGTAGAGCACCGAGTGGGAGTGGGGTAGAGGTTAAATAAACACTGTTAGGGACTTCAAGGACTGTAAAGATATCATCTCACAATATGTTTTATATACTTGCATAGCTACATACATTTATTTACAAATATTAACACTCACTCACTACAAGCCATTACACATATATTAACCATTTACAAACCGTTAGACATATCTATTTTCACAGATATTTAACTACATTTATAAATACCTACAGTGCATACAAGTTAAGCACTTAGTACTTGTTAAAGATATTTTAATTTCCCTCTGAACAGGAGTGTCCTAGCGGGCTGGTGGATGAGGAGACTTTCAAAAACATCTACTCACAGTTCTTCCCCCAGGGAGGTAGGAGTCTGCCCTCAAGTGATGTAAGGGAGGCACAAGGGAATATTACTGCAGATGGGTGGGAGACTCCCTTTCAACTGCTGCTACGTTGTCAGCTATTTCAATGGGCTGTTATTTAATAGAGAGCATTGTCATACTGTTTTGGAATCGAAATTTGATCAGAAGATGCAAGATTCTGACAACTCAGAACCTCACCTATTGATTTATAGATGCTACAGTTGAAGTCGGAAGTTTACATACACCTTAGACAAATACATTCAAACTTAGTTATTCACAATTCCTGACATTTAATCCTAGTAAAAATTCCCTGTCTTAGTTCAGTTAGGATCATCACTTTATTTTAAGAATGTGAAATGTCAGGATAATAGTAGAGAGAATTATTTATTTCAGCTTTTATTTATTTCATCACATTCCCAGTGGGTAAGAAGTTTACATACACTCAATTAGTATTTGGTAGCATTGCCTTTAAATTGTTTAACTTGGGTCAAACGTTTCGGGTTGCCTTCCACAAGCGTCCCACAATAAGTTGGGTGAATTTTGGCCCATTCCTCCTGACAGAGCTGGTGTAACTGAGTCAGGTTTGAAGGCCTCCTCGCTCGCACACGCTTTTTCAGTTCTGCCCACACATTTTCTATAGGATTGAGGTCAGGGCTTTGTGATGGCCACTCCAATACCTTGACTTTGTTGTCCTTAAGCCATTTTGCCACAACTTTGGAAGTATGCTTGGGGTCATTGTCCATTTGGAAGACCCATTTGCGACCAAGCTTTAACTTCCTGACTGATGTCTTGAGATGTTGCTTCAATATATCCACATAATTTTCCTTCCTCATGATGCCATCTATTTTGTGAAGTGCACCAGACCCTCCTGCAGCAAAGCACCCCCATAGCATGATTCTCCCACCCCCGTGCTTCACGGTTGGGTTGGTGTTCTTCGGCTTGCAAGTGCCCCCTTTTTCCTCCAAACATAACAATGGTCATTATGGCCAAACAGTTCTATTTTTGTTTCATCAGACCAGAGGACATTTCTCCAAAAGGTACGATCTTTGTCCCCATGTGCAGTTGCAAACCGTGGTCTGGCTTTTTTATGGCGGTTTTGGAGCAGTGGCTTCTTCCTTGCTGAGCAGCCTTTCAGGTTATGTCGATATAGGACTCGTTTTACTGTGGATATAGATACTTTTGTACCTGTTTCCTCCAGCATCTTTACAAGGTCCTTTGCTGTTGTTCTGGGATTGATTTGAAGTACGTTCATCTCTAGGAGACAGAACGCGTCTCCTTCCTGAGCGGTATGATGGCTGCGTGGTCCCATGGTGTTTATACTTGCGTACTATTGTTTGTACAGATGAATGTGGTACCTTCAGGCGTTTGGAAATTGCTCCCATGGATGAACCAGACTTGTGGAGGTCTACAATTTTTTTGCTGAGGTCTTGTCTGATTTGTTTTGACTTTCCCATGATGTCAAGCAAAGAGGCACTGAGTTTGAAGGTAGGCCTTGAAATACATCCACAGGTACACCTCCAATTGACTCAAATTATGTCAATTAGCCTATCAGAAGCTTCTAAAGCCATGACATCTGACCCACTGGAATTGCGATACAGTGAATTATAAGTGAAATACTCTGTCTGTAAACAATTGTTGGAAAAATTACTTGTGTCATGCACAACGTAGATGTCCTAACCGACAAACTACAGTTTGTTAACAAGAAAGTTGTGGAGTGGTTGAAAAACAAGTTTTAATGACTCCAACCTAAGTGTATGTAAACTTCCGACTTCAACTGTATACTGACTGACCCATTTCACCCAGAGCGACTGTCAAAGTGGATGAAAGTGGAAAGAGAATAAATAACCAACTGTCACCCACTGTACACCATCCTAATGTTAACTACATTATTGGTATCACTTCTCAGATGCCACCACTTATGCACATTTCCTGTTCAACGCATTTGACATGGACAGAAACGGTTCTATCCGATTTGAGGTAAGCAAAGCTCCGTTTAAGTTAGGTCAGTTCTCCTCTCGCGTAAAACCTTCCAGAACAATCAACCTTAGCCATCCCAATAACCTGCTCAATCTAAAAAACAAACTGCCTTCAGTAGATGAAATCTGTTACTTCGACAGTCAGCAAGGTTTTCTATGTTTTTTTTGCAGGACTTTGTGATTGGACTATCTGTACTGCTCAGAGGTTCAGAAACAGAGAAACTCCGGTGGGCCTTCAATCTGTATGATATCAACAAGGATGGCTACATCACCAAGGAGGTACAGTGTAAGGTCGTGCATTCAAAGTTTCTTGTTTGTTGCATAGAGATGCTCTTCTAAGACATAGTGCTGACTAAGACGCGCGCGTGTGTGTGTGTGAACCTTTGTACAGGAGATGTTGGCCATAATGACGTCCATCTATGACATGATGGGCAGGTATACCTCTCCCAGTTTACGAGATGATGACCCAACTGAGCATGTGGACAAGTTCTTTCAGGTACATAAACCCCCAGCGTATGACCCCCTCCCATCCCACCCCCATGTCTGACATTTCACGTTGTTTAACCTCTTAAGGATCTTTGACATACCCAAATCTAACTGCCTGTAGCTCAGGACCTGAAGCAAGGATATGCATATTCTTGATACCATTTGAAAGGAAACACTTAGACGTTTGTGGAAATGTGAAATTAATGTAGGAGACTATAACACATTAGATCTGGTAAAAGATAATACAAACAAAAAAACATACTTTTTTTTTTTTTCATCATCTTTGAAATGCAAGAGAAAGGCCGCAATATAATCTTTCAGTTTATGCGCAATTTAGATTTTGGCCAATAGATGGCAGCAGTGTGTGCAACGTTTTAGCGTGATCCAGTGAAGCATTGCAATATAGGACTATTTTGTATCAAGTCTGCCCAAATGTGCCGAATTGGTCAATTGATACATTTTCAAGTACATAACTATAAAGAACATACAAAAATGATATGGTAATACAAAATATACGTTTACACACTCCCAGGAATGTCATACATGATGGATCATTAGCTTATACACTAACTTTCACACATCTAGATGGCTGGGCGGGGTGGGTGTGGAGCCAGAGACAGCAGGGGTTCAAACTGTAGAACCCAGTTCCTACATTTGAATATAAAAATGTATTTTATCAAACAAAACTATGCTACATTTTACCTCTGGGACCCTTAGGATGACAAATCAGAGCAAGATTACTGAATGTAAGTACATTATTTACCTTCAGAGGTGAATGTATCAAACCAGTTGCCGTGATAAAAAATTTTTTTGTTGTTGTGTACTCTCCTCAAACAATAGCATGGTATTTTTCCACTGTAATAGCTACTGTAAATTGGACAGTGCAGTTAGATTAACAAGAATTTTGGCTTTCTGCCCATATAAGACATGTCTATGTCCTGGAAAGGTTGCTGTTACTTACAACAGTCATGCTAATCACATTAGCGCACGTTACCTCAACCGTCCCGTATACGGGACACCGATCCCGTAGAGGTTAACACCTTCTGTCCTTTTGTTTGTATTGTTTCTGTCCTAAGGCTTTATTGTTTGGCTATTGTTTAATGAGAACGCTCGTCTGTTTGAGTTTTCCCAACCTTAAAGCTTCAAATGTTGTTACTGTGGAGGTTAGTAGTTCTGTATGTAATCGTATAAGATCTTTAATGGCTACTTTTTTCAGAAAATGGATCGGAACAGAGACGGGGTGGTGACCATTGATGAGTTCATAGAAACGTGTCAGAAGGTAAACACATTCTCCACAATCTTTACTGATGAAAAGATGTACTGTACATCTTGTTAGAATGCCCAGACAAGCCACATGCTATTACATGGCTTTAACTTGCCTGGCTAACATTCCAGGTTTTCCTGTAGCTGGTAGACAGCAGATTAACTGACAGGTTTGTTTTACAGAACCTGTACATGTCAGAGCAACACAAAGCATATGAAGAGCTATAAGTAGTGTTCAATTGGCATTGTGTCCTAAAACAACTGATTCCTCAACTCTTAATTTCTCTCACCAGGATGAAAATATCATGGCCTCCATGCAGCTCTTTGAGAACGTCATCTAGGTCTAGGAATGGATGGAGAACATGGATAGAAGTACAAGTCCTGATGACCTTTTATTGCTTCCAATACCAGACCCTACAAGCCCCTTTGCACTTTAACCCCTCACCTTTTGATAATAGACAAATATTTACACACATCAAAATGAGGACAGTAAACATTTGTCAGGGGGCATAGGGAAATGTGACTCTTTAAACGTTTGATTCCACTACGTATGGGAAAATAATCCCTACAATGGTCCTACTGACAGTTCTACTTTCCTTACCATGGACACACAGGGAATGGCAACATACAAATGTCAATGTTAGTACGCTGTACAGTAGTATGCCTACTGCCCATGCCTGAACAGATTATGATCCTTTGCATGTTTGCCTGAGACTAGTGTAAGTTAATGTTAACACAGTGGAATGCAAATATGAATATTGTTATTGAGTAGCCTGAAACCATTCTAATATTGTATTTGTGTGTGTGTGTTTGGGAGGGAGGGGGCAAGGTCACAAAACTGGATACCTAGGATAAGTTGATATTCACACAATAGCATAGAAATGTAAAAGCTTTTTACATTGCAGTCCTCCCGGGTATATGTCATCAGCATCATGATAGGAAGGTGGGATTTATTGATGTTGCTATATCATATATCATGCCGCCATAAGTCCCAGCCGTCCCGGCACCTACAGCCTATGTCATCTACTCATTGCATACCCAGAGAGAGAATGTATTTTAAAATGTTGTTGAATATCACTAAATTCCAGAATGAATTTGCACTCTTAATATTTTTCAATGCAATGTTAAATAATTTTCCCAAAAAGTGGTTATTTTCCTGTGGCAGTAAATGTTTATGAATGACCCCCAGGTGTGTAATTACAATGTCAATTGATTCCCTAAGGGACAGTTGAAGATTACTTGTACTTTGGCTCACATATATATATATACAGTGGGGAGAACAAGTATTTGATACACTGCCGATTTTGCAGGTTTTCCTACTTACAAAGCATGTAGAGGTCTGTAATTTGTATCATAGGTACACTTCAACTATGAGAGACGGAATCTAAAACAAAAATACAGAAAATCACATTGTATGATTTTTAAGTAATTAATTTGCATTTTATTGCATGACATAAGTATTTGATCACCTACCAACCAGTAAGAATTCTGGCTCTCACAGACCTGTTAGTTCTTCTTTAAGAAGCCCTCCTGTTCTCCACGCATTACCTGTATTAACTGCACTTGTTTGAACTCGTTACCTGTAAAAAAGACACCTGTCCACACGCTCAATCAAACAGACTCCAACCTCTCCACAATGGCCAAGACCAGAGAGCTGTGTAAGGACATCAGGGATAAAATTGTAGACCTGCACAAGGCTGGGATGGGCTACAGGACAATAGGCAAGCAGCTTGGTGAGAAGGCAACAACTGTTGGCGCAATTATTAGAAAATGGAAGAAGTTCAAGATGACGGTCAATCACCCTCGGTCTGGGGCTCCATGCAAGATCTCACCTCATGGGGCATCAATGATCATGAGGAAGGTGAGGGATCAGCCCAGAACTACACAGCAGGACCTGGTCAATGACCTGAAGAGAGCTGGGACCACAGTCTCAAAGAAAACCATTAGTAACACACTACGCCGTCATGGATTAAAATCCTGCAGCACACGCAAGGTCCCCCTGCTCAAACCAGCGCATGTCCAGGCCTGTCTGAAGTTTGCCAATGACCATCTGGATGATCCAGAGGAGGAATGGGAGAAGGTCATGTGGTCTGATGAGACAAAAATAGAGCTTTTTGGTCTAAACTCCATTCGCCGTGTTTGGAGGAAGAAGAAGGATGAGTACAACCCCAAGAACACCATCCCAACCGTGAAGCATGGAGGTGGAAACATCATTCTTTGGGGATGCTTTTCTGCAAAGGGGACAGGACGACTGCACCGTATTGAGGGGAGGATGGATGGGGCCATGTATCGCGAGATCTTGGCCAACAACCTCCTTCCCTCAGTAAGAGCATTGAAGATGGGTCGTGGCTGGGTCTTCCAGCATGACATCGACCTAAAACACACAGCCAGGGCAACTAAGGAGTGGCTCCGTAAGAAGCATCTCAAGGTCCTGGAGTGGCCTAGCCAGTCTCCAGACCTGAACCCAATAGAACATCTTTGGAGGGAGCTGAAAGTCCGTATTGCCCAGCGACAGCCCCAAAACCTGAAGGATCTGGAGAAGGTCTGTATGGAGGAGTGGGCCAAAATCCCTGCTGCGGTGTGTGCAAACCTGGTCAAGACCTACAGGAAACGTATGATCTCTGTAATTGCAAACAAAGGTTTCTGCACCAAATATTAAGTTCTGCTTTTCTGATGTATCAAATACTTATGTCATGCAATAAAATGCAAATTAATTACTTAAAAATCATACAATGTGATTTTCTGGATTTTTGTTTTAGATTCCGTCTCTCACAGTTGAAGTGTACCTATAATAAAAATTACAGACCTCTACATGCTTTGTAAGTAGGAAAACCTGCAAAATCGGCTGTGTATCAAATACTTGTTCTCCCCACTGTATATATATATATATACAGTACCAGTCAAAGGTTTGGACACACCTACTCATTCAAGGGTTTTTCTTTATTTTTACTATTTTCTACATTGTAGAATAATAGTGAAGACATCAAAACTATGAAATAACACATATGGAATCATGTAGTAACCAAAACAGTGTTAAACAAATATATTTTATATTTTATATTCTTCAAATAGCCACCCTTTGCCTTGATGACAGCTTTGCACACTCTTGGCATTCTCCCAACCAGCTTCACCTGGAATGCTTTTCCAACAGTCTTGAAGGAGTTCCCACATATGCTGAGCACTTGTTGGCTGCTTTTCCTTCACTCTGCCGTCCGACTCATCCCAAACCATCTCAATCTGATGCAGCACTCCATCACTCTACTTCTTGGTAAAATAGCCCTTACACAGCCTGAAGGTGTGTTGGGTCATTGTCCTGTTGAAAAACAAAGCACAAATTAGATGGGATGGCGTATCACTGCAGAATGCTGTGGTAGCCATGCTGGTTAAGTGTGCCTAAATAAATCACAGACATTGTCACCAGTAAAGCACCCCCATGCCATAACACCGCCTCCATGCTTTACAGTGGGAACTGCACATGCGGAGATCATCCGTTCTCTCACAAAGACACGGCGGTTGGAACCAAAAATTTCCAATTTGGACTCTAGACCAAAGGACACATTTCCACCAGTCTAACGTCCATTGCTCGTGTTTCTTTGCCCAAGCAGGTCTCTTCTTCTTATTGGTGTCTTTTAGTAGTGGTTACTTTGCAGCAATTCGACCATGAAGGCCTGCTTCACACAGTCCCCTCTGAACAGTTGATGTTGAGATGTGTCTGTGACTTGAACTCTGTGAAGCATTTATTTGGGCTGCAATTTCTGAGGCTGGTAACTCTAATGAACTTATCCTCTGCAGCAGAGGTAACTCTGGGTCTTCCATTCCTGTGGCGGTCCTCATGAGAGCCAGTTTCATCATAGCGCTTGATGGTTTTTGCGACTGCACTTGAAGAAACTTTCAAAGTTCTTAAAATGTTCCGTATTGACTGTCCTTCATGTCTTAAAGTAATGATGGACTGTCATTTCTCTTTGCTTATTTGAGCTGTTCTTGCCATAATATGGACTTGGTCTTTTACCAAATAGGGCTATCTTCTGTAAACCCCCCGCCACCTTGTCACAACACAACTGATTAGCTCAAACGCATTAAGAAGGAAAGAAATTCCACAAATTCACTTTTAAGAAGGCACACCTGTTAATTGAAATGCCAAGAGTGTGCAAAGCTGTCATCAAGGCAAAGGGTGGCTACTTTGAAGAATCTCAAATATAAAATATATTTTGATTTGTTTATCACTTTTTTGGTTACTACATGATTCCATATGTGTTATTTCATAGTTTTGATCTCTTCACTATTATTCTACAATGTAGAAAATAGTACAAATAAAGACAAACCCTTGAATGAGTAGGTGTATCGAAAGTTTTGACTGGTACTGTATATATATTGTCAAGGTTGTTTGCTACTAACAGTTGGGTCAGTGTTTTTGTTCTGAAATAGAGCAAAACAACATTAGTACTCCGCTGCATTATATGGTGCATTGGAATGTTGTTTTGTTGCATTTTAGAAAAAAAAATCTGACCCAACTTGTTAGTAGCAAACACACAGAAAAGCTAATTTTTTTCAAATGCAAATATAAAAAATGACTTTGTGGTATTACCTGACAAGAGTTCCTTGGGTGTTTTTCAATCAGAGAAATAGTGAACATAAAAGTTCAATCAGATGAAACGACAGGGATTATCCACTCGCAGTACATTTTAATGACCTAAAACATGACATTTCTACCTTTTAGATTTTGTGGCGAAGAGAAAGTTAAGATATCAGACAGGGGAGGTGATATAAATAATACTCTGAGCAAAATATAATGTTTTTCGATTTTCACCCTCCAGACATTGTTTCCTAAAGGTCTTAATGATGAAATGCCTATGTATGTTATGTTGTAAATGTGAATATGAATGAATGCCCCCATTTCAGATTACTCTGACATTTTTCTAGCGCTGTACCCAATGATTTATGAAAACTTGCTTAGTGGTCGATGTCCTCATTGTGGTTTCACAGACGTGTTTAATACGTTTTATGTACACACTGTATTAGAATATTTATGAAATGCACATTGTTATATTTGGTAGCACTTACTTGTTTTCTCTCTACTCCAACCCCATTCGATGCGTGGAACGGATGTGGGTGGGGCTATGTCTACATAAGGGTACTAATTTAAAAAACTCACAAAAGCTCTGACGAAGGCCTTGAGGCCGATAAGTAAAGCTTATTAAAGAGCAGTGATACTATCAAGAGCAGTGTGCGGGTTTCTTCTTTTTTTCTCAAAATGTATGGAGTGAAAAGTACAATATTTTCTTTAGGAATGTAGGGAAGTAAAAGTAAAAATTGTCAAAAATATAAATAGTAAGTAGAGATATCCCAAAAAACGACTTAAGTAGTACTTTAACCTCTATGGGATCGGTGTCCCGTATATGGGACTGTTGAGCTAACGTGCTCTAATGTGATTAGCATGGCTGTTGTAAGTAACAGCAACCTTTCCAGGACATAGACATGTCTTATATGGGCAGAAAGCTTAAATTGCACTGTCCAATTTACAGTAGCTATTACAGTGAAAAAATACCATGCTATTGTTTGAGGAGAGTGCACAACAACAAAAAATGTATCACGGCAACTAGTTTGATACATTCACCTCTGAAGGTAAATAATGTACTTACATTCAGTAATCTTGCTCTGATTTGTCATCCTAAGGGTCCCAGAGATAAAATGTAGCATAGTTTTGATAAAATCAATTTTTATATTCAAATATAGGAACTGTGTTCTACAGTTTGAACCCCTGCTGTCTCTGGCTCCACACCCACCCCGCCCAGCAATCTAGA